CAACCTACAAATTGGGGTACAGACGTCCGGCTGGAGTTTGAAAAATACCGCCATTCATATATTAATTTATGCGAAAATCCCTACCAATTCATATATATTTCCGAGCTATCATGACATCTTATTTCAATGAGATGTTAACTACATGGGATCCGTAATTCATATTATGAGATAAAAAGATCAGAACACAGTGTTTACAGACATCTTTACAGAAGATTAACATGTATGACCCATTGACATATAAATTTCTACTCATTGATTTACTACCTCCGTGAAATTGCGCCCCATTGATCTATATGACCCATTCCAAAAAAGTTACCCATACCAGCGGCACGTCTGTGTATACCTTTATATAGGATGAGAACCCCCCCCCCCCCCCCCCCCCCACACACACACACACAACCCCCCACACCATGAAACGACAATACCATGTCAAAAAAATTAAAAATATCGAATAGACAAACAACAGTTTCAAAATCTTTTCTAATGATTTATATTATTTAACAAAAGGTATGACTAAAAATCTCATACTTTGTGTGATTTGATAATTTTACTGAAGGTAGAGTTGGGTTGAAGAAAGTTTACCATGAAGTTTTGAAAAAAAACATGAAACTTACTACGTGTTTTCATTATGATGAGAACTTTTTGATATGTGTTCCAAATTTAATTGTTCCATACCTGCCAACACTCCCGTTTTGAGCGGGAGTCTCCCACGCAAACGACGAAATTCCGGATATTTCCCGCTTGCCGGTCTGCTCCCGCGCATACAATCTCCCACATTCGGATATTTTAACCCGGAATGACCCGCGTTCGTATTTCTCGTGATTTTTCATTTCTGTCAATAGAAATAAACAAACAATCGGCTATCATTTGAAAACTTCAGTAGTTTTTATGTTCTATTTATAAGTATTCGAAAATCATTTCTGCTATGTCAACTCCAACAACATAGAGGTCTTTGTCTGGACCAAGCGGCAGTGTAAAAAAGTAAATTTCAAGCAGATTGGATGAAAGATTTTCAATTTTTACGACAAAATTCTGTAATCCAGCCGAGAGTATCCCGTCCTATACTGAGCAGTTTACTACGAACGCTCATGAAATGCAGTATCTGCTTCCCGGAGCACCTCTATATGTGTATAAAACTTCGTCAGTCATTGTGATTAAATAAAGAACTTCTGACAATTCTATTACTTGTATACAATATAGTGCATATGAACTAAATATACAGCCTAAATTCATATGGATGGTGTCCGACGTGGTGGGATATAGCTAACTGTACAAAAAGGCGGGTATTAATACTCCATTATATATCCTTATGCTCACCTTAAGCTTTTTACTGATTTGTTTACAATTTTATTAAGATTTGCGTTGTGTTCCTTTTTTGAACTTGCCGCCAGCAGAACTTTGGGCTATTTGCCATTACTGGGTGCTCGCAAGTTTTTATACAAAAATTGTAAGTGTCACGTGACATACTGATCAAATGGTAACTTGTACTTTCCGGGAAGCCGGAACTATACAATATCAAGATTAAAAAAACATAGAATTGAAATCATCTCGAGTTGTCATATGATTGTCCTTTAACATATAATATTAAAACTAAGCAATAGAGCTCACAATATCAATAAAATAACTTGAAATACGCAATCGGATTTGATTTAGCAAACGATATACGCAATTACATAGAAGTAGAATCATAAAACATAGTTCATCACCTCAACCTAAATATTTACAATATTTTTGTGTCCGGCAGCGTATAACCATAAAATATTAAATCTGTGGTATAAAAAATACAATAATGAATCAATTGTCAATGTATTTATGTGTTTACCCGTTGTTTATAAAGCATAAAAGTTATGAAAAGTATATATTTGGTTTCAACAAATAGTTCTCAATACGAGAATTAGTTGTTAATTTATACGGAAAAGGAAAACTATGAGAAATTACACACATTCCCTGCCGTGACACCTGTACAACAAATGTGAAATTACACACATTCCCTGCCGTGACACCTGAAGAACAAAGAAATTACACACATTCCCTGCCGTGACACCTGTACAACAAATGTAAATGAACGAAAAACTCATTTCACTTCCAGTGTTTTACACATTAAACATTTGATTTACTAGATAATTATCATCATTTCAAACCTATGTACAAACATAACTTGGAAATTTATATTTTAGCTGATGAAATGCCTCCCCCCTTATACTTGGTAAAAACTTGAATCTTGACTGGTGATAGTTATAAAAATAGTGCCACAAATGTAAAAATCAGTATAAAATGTTTATTAAGCTTTGCTACGAATAAAGTATATACTTATTTAAAGACACCCGACACAATTTTATTCCTATTTGTTTCTATTTAACACTCCCAAGTTAGTATCTTACAAATTGAATTCACGCGGCAAATATGAATCTTTATTTTGCACATTATGTTCACATATTATGTCGTCACAACTGGAGATTTGAAAATTTTCAACTGGAGTTTTTTAAGATAACAGTATTACTATTAATGTATTCTCTCTGTATTGTTACCATTTGAAATATATGTCAACACTAAGCTTTACTATTTGTATGTGATTTTTTTTCCTTTCCTCATCTTTGTCATCATTAGTGTGTTTCTCAGTTCTATCATCCAATAATTATATATGTGTTTTACAGTGTTATTCCATTTTTGAAGCTAATTTTGATTTTGACAAATTTAGCATAAACACTCACTCAGTCATTATACAACAAACAAATGGAAGTTTTTAACGACCTTGACTGGCTATACAGCCCTTGCACGGTCGGCTTAATCATTATAAACTAAAACTACTGGAAGTGTTTTACGACATTGACTGGATATACATCCCTCGCACGGTCGGCTCGGTGCCCGAAGGCGTTTGGTGAGCGTTTAAATAATTTTGTGCCATCGGTCAGGAACAGGTGATGGACGCCATTTTGGTAGGCCGCCATCTTGGTTTTGCGAGTTGTTTTGGTTTTTCTTTTGTTGACTATTTTGATGTTATGTCTTCACAACGGCTGCTTTCAGGGCCAGATTGGTCAGCTTGGCAGCCCGCTAACCTCGATGATGGAGTACTGGTAGATGAGTCTCGGACGTAGTATTAACGATGACAGGAAGCATTATCAGGACCAAAGTCGTGAGACAGTGAAATGGTGGTCCATCATCTAACACCTAGGATACAGCCCTCGGACGTCACTCGGCATACCACTCCCCCATCCATAATGGGTTTTGGAGTGTATGTTGACGCGGGAATTTGCCCTAAGCGGATTATAGCCTAACGTAGTCTGTACAGCGTTGGATTGGTTTCTGTCATCGAAAGTAGTAAGTCGTTGATCCAACTAACTGTAAACCCTCATCGAAGATAGCGGGTAAAGGAGAGCTGACCCAGCACGTCCGTTCAGTTGTAATGACTGAGACGTGACTGATCAATGTGATGGATTGAAATGGATGATGAATGAAATCATTATAATAAGGTCAATGCATATTTTATAAATTTCAATTTAAGCATTGAAAAGAAGTGTAGATCTCACAAATAATTTTCAAAATAATATTTTCTTATTTGTCTTAAGACATTTAAAATCATTAAATTACCATCCTGTCTGATTCCTTATATGATTCTTTGTTCAATTTGTATTTTATTCATATTCTTTTATCAATTTACCTTAATCTAAGGAGGGTAACTTAAAACATGATAAAACAAGGGAAGTAACCGGAAATTTCTTTTAAGTGTTTTCAAATACACAAAGCTTTTATTACATAACGGCAGTTAGCCTGAGGTCAAAATCGTTGATAAATAGTATGTTTGACACCCAAGCTGTCAAGTGAAACCATATAATTATACAAGTTCTTTGATTTACAGGTAAAAATTACCTTCATCAGTGACACAAAAACGTAATTAATGTTGACATCGATGGTAATAAAAAATAGAGACTGACAAATTTTTTGGGGTTTGAAATTTTGAAACAAACGGAAGATTTGAATTATTAACCGGAGGGACGGAAGAGGGCTTAAAAATCGGGACATTTTGACTCCCGCCGGAAGAATCACATGTCTGGACTTCAATCAATTTTTCAGATACTTCTGGTGGTCTGTACGACGTTAAAAAGCATGCTTAGTATGAGACTCACAACAAAATCAAAATATGGAATGTTATGAGTATTGTCTTGACTCAGAGGTATTGAAAAAGGCAAAAATACCTTGTATAGATTATAACAATGAATTGAAGAAATAAAGTATATTTATTAAATAATAATTGGACCCAGATTTCGGGTCTCACTGATCATGGAAATGTGATAGTAGAAGCGGAGACATGACACATATTTTTGTTTTTATTGTGCACTTGTTCTTTATTTTCGTTTCTGCATTGAATAACGTATACAAAACTGAGACAATTTTTAAAACATGTACAGCTGGACAAGGACATATGTAAGTCATCATTTGCGATTTTTCACTGTATAATTCCTTTATGCGACTATATTCATGCTTGAGATAAAAATGAATAATGCGTAATAATAAGTATGTTGTATCACGAAAAAAATGCTTATCCGATTTGGTTTGAACATGCATGTGTCAACAATGGATATAAAACTGTTCAGAACATATTCTTTAAACCTTTGTGTAGTTATCGATAATCTCTTTATATGTAACACATGTTTATACATAGAATGCCTTGGCAACAATAGTTCGGTTCCGTGGAGATTTTTTATAACATTTATACGCTGAAATGATAGCAGTTACATTAATACGGTATTCACTTCAATACTCCTTCACAGCCATTCTACTTTTTGTACTGTTACATTTTGGGCTAGCTCACCCAGATTTCACTCAATCTGTCGGTCTAGGAAAAGAAAAGTCTATATTAATATCACAAAAATATTTAATTAGATGCCTTTGCAAGCATAAAATTACATCACTTCCGGTAATGTTTTGATACTGTAGACAATACACGAAAAGTCCGTTTTATTAAAATACAGCAACAAATTAATTAATATTGTTATTCACAGGAGCCACACCATATCCAGGAATGACAGTAAGGGAGGTAATTCAGGATGTTACCATGGGTAAATGGTTACAGAAACCTTTTCATTGCAAACAAGAACTGTGAGTAATAATCGTACATGTATTGTATTATTTACACAAGTACCAATAATGACACTCAATATAAAAAAAAAGTTCTAAACTTTTACAGAGCTTATTACAGAAATCTGTTTTATAAAGAATAAAATCGCCGCCACTCCAGCAATATCTCTTGTAATAATTCGACAATAACTTTTACTAGCCAGCAGAAGCAGAGTATAAAGAAATCTATTGGGATGTACAATGTTAATTCAAATAACGAGAAATGTATATGATGCATTATTATATTCACAGTGTGGGAAAGGAACTGTACTTTTTTTTAATTTTTTGGTCTTTCGGTAGACTGTCAAGCGGGGCTCCGACATTCATAAAAATAACAAGTTGCTAGATGAAAAGTTTGATGAACTCAAATGTTACTATTTAAAGTTTCTGCTTCAAGATTTGGTAACAAAAACATTCTACATGTAAATATGAACCAATCAAATAATAAAAAACGATATATGCATCCAAACGTTTTCCTTAGAATGGCGGAGCTCCGAGTAAATCGATCAAAACTGTCACACAACAGTGATAAATCAAAGTACTGACGTGCTGTTTACTCGGATAAACCCAAGATCTGATGGCTGGCAAATAAATAAAAAAAATGTTCTACCTCTATATAGACTACTAGCAGTTGCTTTTTCAAGTCAAATATCAAACATTTCAGCCACATTTAAGACTTTAACATACTAGTTTTTAACATGTAATCAGTTGCCTAGGTTCTGTGGTCATAGAGGGTAGAAAGGGATAACAAAAGAAGTTAAATTGTTTTGCACCGTACTGGATAATGCATTTAATGAATGCATTTCGATCAGACGTGATTGTGTTTAAAACAGATCCCCTTCCCCAATACAAGACTGGAGAAGTTTATGTGACTATAATTCTATACTCATGTGACTCTTGCTTGTGTAAACAGTATTCGTAGACCTTTTTAATTCTTTGATTAGTTTTAAATATTTCTAATTTACTCACTGTTTCTTAATTATGCCATGACCCCACCATTAAATTCACGTAATTTCTACCATGTATATAGTAACAATTGTTTTGTTTGTTTTTATGAATTGTTCAAACGGAAGAGGTAAATCACAGAAGCATATTTTGATTCGCTTAGTTTAATCAGTGGTGGATCAAGGAACCTTTAAAAAAGGGGTGTGGTTACATGTCAGTTAGGGGAGGAGGAAGGAGCCAAACATTCTTTTATACTAAATACTAATATTTAAGATATGAATAAGGAGATAATTAGTGAAAAATCAGCGGGTCGGCAACCTAACATAAAAGATTGACATGCATAGACATCTATTGTGATATAATACAACTCTTGGAAACTGGATTCAAATTTAAAAACATAAAGACTTGTAATTCAAATTCAAATTCAAATGTTTATTGCCATATAAACTTTAAACAATAAGTTTGTGACAAATACAAAATAAGTATAATACAATATAACTGAAATTCACATATATATACACAATCGTTTACAGTAAATAGTCAAGAGTCCCATGTCCTCAGTTCCAATGACTTTTAAATGTAGGACCCTAATTTATTTACTTGTGATGGTGTTGCTGGATTGAGCATAAACATTACCTTTTCTTCATCAGACAAATCTTGAACAGAAAATAAATAGATATTTTTTTCAAAATTATGTACAATCATGAGACATGTGAGATGAGAGTATATATTGTCTCCGTAGTGTTATGTTGATAAACTATGAGTGATCTCAGTGATAAATAAATATCATTGAAACCAGTCGTGATATAATACAACTCTTGGAAACTGAATTCAAATTTAAAAACATATAGGGCTTATAATTCAAATTCAAATTCAAATGTTTATTGCCATATAAACTTTAAACAATAAGTTTGTGACAAATACAAAATAAGTATATATACAATATAACTGAAATTCACATATATATATACACAATCGTTTACAGTAAATAGTCAAGAGTCCCATGTCCTCAGTTCTAATGACTTTTTAATGTAGGACCCTAATTTATTTACTTGTGATGGTGTTGCTGGATTGAGCATAAAAATTACCTTTTCTTCATCAGACAAATCTTGAACAGAAAAATTTATTTCCAAATTATTAAAAAATGTGTTTCTCAAATCCCTATTTAATTCACAATCTAATAAAAACTGCTTTTTCATCTTCTAATATGTTACATTTAAGGCATAATCGCTGCTCTCTAGGAATATTAGAATGTCTTCCTTTTTCTTATTTAAACTATGGTCTCTAATTGTTAGTTTTGTTATAAATTTTCTATATGTCAAGTTTGGTGTTCTTAATCAGTCTTTAAAAATTAAATTTTTGTTTAAGGTTCTTATATAAATAAAGTTTACTTTTTTCATCATTTTTTTGCATTTGATTATGAATCAAATTTTCAAAGAAGTTTTTAGAACATTCATGAACAGTTTTTATTTCCGTGAGATTTCTATTATATAAATATTCATTTAAACTACTGTAATCCAACATATGTCTGGCATGAGGTTATTTTTCTTACGTTACGATTTAATAATTATTATAGTAATTTCGTCTTGTTATAAAATTTTGATTTAAGCCTCAATAACACATTCGATACTGTTACTGATGCTTAAAGGTCTTTATTTTAATGTATGTAGTCTGATATCGTCCGGAATAGTATTCTATGATGAACTGAAGATAGAAAAGAGCTTTGATAAAATGGTGTCCTGCTGTTATAAATTGTGTGTCGTTCGTTTGTCTGATATTATAGTTATGAATACTAAGTATTGAGAAGTTGCTGGAGGGTGATACCCCTTAAGTGTTCAAGAGTTTTATCATGAAAAATTTCATGAAATTTAAGGATTTTGTGTTTTCTCTGACTTTCAGATAACAAATCACACCCCGATCCATAATGCAATTTATTATCTAGCTTCCAACTTTTGACTCTACATTCGTTTTGTTAATATTTTGAGGGTTAGGGTTAGGGTGATACCTGGCCTGGCTTGATGTTTGTTGACATATACGTGTCTTTTCTTTGTTCCGTGAATAGCTACCACCATTCCACACTCGAATGCCTGTATCAAGTTAGAATATCCTGGTCTTCTGATGTAACTTTCTTTGTTGTATTGTTTATATACATATATATTATAATTCTTTTAGAATGTTGGTAAATAATAAATTAAGTAAACTTCAGAATATGCTTACCCTTCCAGAGCACATAGTGAACTTTCCAGTTTTTATACGACCGCAGGTAGTATTATGTAATGGTGTTGTCTGCGTCTGCGTTTGAAGACATTTTGGTTCGCAGACAATAACTTGAGTATAAGTTCAAGGATCTCTATGAAATTTTAGCACAAGGTTTTGGGGGGCTATTGTCCTTGCGGTTTTGTAATTAGGGGCCAAAAAAGGTCAGTTTTAATGGTTCATGGAAAATAAATTGGTTCGCAGACAATAACTTTAGTGTAAATGTATGGATGTGTAAGAAAATTTAGTACAAGGTTCCATACCACAATAGGAGGGTTGGGATTGATTTTGGGGGTTATTGTCTTAGCTGTTTTGTAATTAGGGGCCAGAAAGGGGCCAAAACCAATTATTTGTCTGGTTTTAAGACAATAACTTGAGTATAAGAGATATTTCTTTGGTCAAAATTTTAACACAAGGTTCCACACCACAATAGGAAGGTTTGGATTAATTTTGGGGGTTATTGTCATAGCTGTTTAGGAATTAAGGGCCAAATCAGGTTCACAGGCAATAACTTGAGTATAAGTGTATGGATCTCTTTTAAATTTTAGCATAAGGTTCCATACCACAATAGGAAGGTTGGGATTTATTTTTGGGGTTATTGTTGTAGCTGTTTAGGAATTAGGAGCCAAAAACAAGCATTTTTCATGTTTCAGGACAATAATTGGTGTATAAGAGTATAGATTTCTATGAAATTTTACCACAAGGTTCCATACTTCAAAAGGAAAGTTTAGAATGATTTTTGTTGGGTCATGACCCATACCGTTTAATAATTAGGGGTCGAAAAGGGGCCGAAAACAACTATTTTTCTGGTTTGCAGGCAATAACTTGAGTATAAGTGTATAGATTTCTATTCAATTTTAGCACAAGGTTCCATACCACAATAGGAAGGTTGGGGTTTATTTTGGGGGTTATTATAGTAGCTGTTTAGGAATTAGGGGCCAAAAAGGGCCTAACAAAAACAATTATTTGTCTGGTTCACAGACAATAACTTGAGTATAACTGTATAGATCTGTATTAAATTTAAGCATAAGGTTCCATTCCACAATAGGAAGGATGGGATTTATTTTGGGGGTTATTGTTGTAGCTGTTTAGTAATTAAGGACCAAAAAGGGGTCAAAAACAAGCATTTTTCATGTTTCAGGACCCTTATTTGTGTATTAGAGTATGGATTTCTGTGAAATTTTACTACAAGGTTCCATACTTCAAAAGAAAAGTTGGGATTGATTTTAGGGGTCATGGTCCAAACTGTTTAATAATAAGGGGCTAAAAAGGGACAAAAAAACTAGGATTTTCTGATTTCTGGACAATAACTTGAGTATAAGTCTATTTATTGCTATTTAATTGTGCCACAAGGTGTTATACCATAAAATAAAGTTTGGGATGGATTTTAGGGGTAATGACCCTATTGGTTTAGTTAAAAGGGGCCAAAACCAATACTTGGTATAAATTGCCTATTTTTTAGCAATTTCAATTGGGTTTAATTCAAAAGTCTTGAATTCTTGGGAGTCTTTAATATGCTGAATCTAATTGGGTATTTAATATTTGGATTTTAGGGTCTGTTTTTGAAATGATTCATATTAAGGTCAAAAGGGTCCAAAATTAAACTTTGTTTGATTTCTTTAAAAATTAAATTCTTGGTGTTCCTTGATATGCTGAATCTTATTGTGTATTTAGATTTTTTTAATTTTGAGGCCTGTCTTAAAATTGGTCCACATTAAGGTCCAAAGGGTCCAAAATACAACTTTTTTTTATTTAAAAAAAAAATTGAATTCTTGTTGATC